ATATAACTGCATCCACACCAGCACTTTCATCGGTGAAACTTATGTCAGTCAGGGGTGTGCTTTCACACTCCTGTTCAACAAAAGTTTTACCCACAAAAGCGCTAATTCAGACAAAGCCTTAGGCTACAAATTTTGGGGGGCAGAGATGGTCTCTTTTTTCTCTATTTGTGTAGTGCCTTGCACAAGGGTTCTTGATCCACAAAGAGGCTCCTAGGTGCTACCATAACACAACATCATGTAATTCTTGCTTAAAATGTGCTGCTGTGTTACCAGGAAACTCAGTTTCAGAATGGATACAGAACACAAAAAATGGTGCAAACACAGTTAAGCAATTCATTTAAAACTGTGAATAGTTGTCCTTAAAATGTTTTGCAGTATTTGCGAACACTAATAACAATCAGAGGATTCAAAAAGTTCTCTCTCATTACAGAGAAAGTGAAAAGACAAAAGATAAAAGAGTGAGTTCTCAATAGATTGTCACATTAAGGGTATATCTTCACTGCAGAGTCAACATGAGTTATCCATATTCCTCTTCAGTTAGCCTAGCTTTTGTGAGAGCAGCCACACACTCTGAAACAACACCAGAGTGACAAAGTGATTAGCAGCACAAAGCAACTGGATTAGCAGCTAATGAATTGAGTTATCTCAAGCTGTAGCCTACAGCTATATACAGACTACTTGGAATTTTAGAAGCACTCAGGCCTTCAAACCATCTTTGATATCAGGGTCTCTTGAGTTTAAAGCACTACATAACTGGAGATAGAGATTTCCGTATGTGGAAGAGAAGTGGGTTAAGAATAGTACTTGAGTTATGCTGTCAGCTAAGGGTGCATCTACACAGTACCATAACGCGAAATAAGATATACTATTTGAGCTGCGCAAATTGTGTCTTATTTCAATGCTATTTCAAAATAGTCTACACAGTGCCAAATTTCAAAATAAAAAGCTATTCCAAAATGTCTCTTACTTCTCGTAAAATGAGGTTTACAGGGACGTTGGAATAGCAAACCTGAAATAATGGCTTGCTGCAAAGATGCAGGTTAGCTATTTTGGGATACTTTAGTATCCCGAAATTGTATTGCAGTATAATCAGAATTGAGCAGGAAATATTCCCTCCTCCCACTGTCATGCAAGAGACTGAGAACTTTTTTTCTTGTTTCAAATTGGGACAGAAAGTAGAAATCTTGTCAATTTTTGGGTGTCAATAATTTAATTTTTTCCTAATGCC